GGACTCGTACTGTGGCCGCCCCGACCACTCTGCTGCACGCTGCTTCAGTCGTCTCGACGACCTCTACCTCTTGCACCACGGCCCCTCCGCTCCCCCGCCGCCACGCTGGGGGACGCTGCTTGCTCGTGGTATTGCTGTTTTTGATATGACTATGGATGATGCTAGGTCTTATGCCATGTATGCTGATGTTGACTATAGTGCTCCTGGATCTGTGTACTTGCCTGTACCTAGCTTAGGATCTGTGCCAGTTTCTAGAGTAGGTGCTAGTGTAGGATCTTGTTTAGCTACTAGTACAGGTACTCCCTCGGCGGACGCGTCTCTCTCCTTCACACTGGACTCAGGAGCGTCGCACTGCTTCTTCCGCGACTGCACGACTCTCTCTCCGCTACCGGCGCCTGTCCCTGTAGCACTGGCCGATCCCTCCTCGGGACCGGTCATTGCGACTCACGCCACTACTCTCCCGTGCCCAGCTGCTCCTTCTGGTTCCCTGACCGGCCTCCACGTTCCTACGTTCTCTAGGAACCTGGTTGGTGTGGGCACCTTGGCGAGACAGCACGTCGGTGTCTGGGTTGAGCCTTCTGGTGACACCGCAGTCTGCGTCGACGGTGACACGTACGCCCCCTTGGCCACTTTCCGCCAGGAGCCGGGCTCTGGTCTGTACACCCTCCGCACCGACCCCCGTCAGGTTCCCCCGTCCCACCAGGTAGCCGGGTCCAGTCAGGTTGCTGTGTCAGGTGTAGTTGCTGCGTCGTGCTCGTGTCGGTCGCTTGCCCACCCCACCGTTCTGTGGCACCACCGGATGGGGCACCCGTCCCTTCCTCGTCTGCGCGCCATGTCCAGTCAGCGTCTTGTCTTAGGCCTCCCCCGAGTCCTCCCACCACTCCCGCCGTCCCCAGCTCCTCCGTGCGGTCCTTGTGTCCAGGGTCGCCTTCCCGCCACCCCTCACTCCTCTCCCCTCCGTCCGGCCACCGAGCCCTTCCAGACACTCCACTTAGACGTCTGGGGCCCCGCCTCCCGCCTTGGCCCTGAGCGGGAGAGTTTCTTTCTGGTGGTCGTTGACGATTACTCTCGGTACACCACCGTGTTCCCTTTGGCGAAGAAGTCCGACGTGACTTCTACGCTGATCCGGTGGCTCCTCGCCACCGAGGGCACTCGTGGTCGTCGTGTCAGTTGTCTCCACTCCGACCGTGGGGGTGAGTTTCGCTCCGGCATTCTCGCCAGATTCTGTGCTGAGCAGGGCATCACCCAGTCCTGGACTCTTCCAGACTCTCCACAGCAGAATGGGGTTGCTGAGCGCCGCTTAGGCCTGGTCATGGAGATCGCCCGCACCTCCATGATCCACGCCTACGCGCCCCATTTTCTGTGGCCCTACGCGGCTCGGTACGCCGCTCACCAGCTGAACCTCTGGCCTCGCGTCTCTCGGCCAGGGGCTTCACCGACCAGTCTTTGGACAGGGTCCCCTGGTGTTGCGTCGAGGTTTAGTGTCTGGGGCTGCTTGGCTCTTGTCCGCGACACCTCTGCGGACAAGATCTCGCCTCGCGCCGTCCCCTGTGTCTTCCTTGGTTTCCCAGAGGACTCCTCTGACTTCACCTTGTGCCACCCTCCCTCCCACCGGTTCTTTGACTCTCGTGACGTCCGTTTCGACGAGTCCGTCCCCTACTACGTCAGGTACCCCTCTCGAGGTCTCCCGGTTCCCCCCCCTCCCCTCTTCCTGGCTCCAGCTCCTCCTCCTCCCGCCCCTGCTCCTCCGGTACCCCCCCCTGTTCTTGCTCCGTCTGGTGTGTCCCACGCTACTCCCCCTCCCTCGGTACCCCCCCAGGTCTCTCCTCCTTCCCCACAGTCGTCCTCACAGCCTCCGCAGCAGCCGCCAGCGCTTCCTCTACCGGCCACTGCGGACTCTGAGGGTGTTGGTGCTCGAGGTGAGGGCTCTGGCAGTGCCCGTTCTGGGGGTGTTGGCGTTGGCGCTGAGCGTGCACCTGCCGCGGCTGCCCGTTCCGAGGGTACTGGAGCTGGTGGTGGTGCTGGAGCTGGTGGTGTTTCTGGAGCTGGAGAGTCTGGGGCTGGTGCTGGTGCCACTGGAGGCACCACGACTGGGGGTGCGGGTACTGGTCGTGCTGCCGCAGGGGGTCCTCGCTCTGGGGGTGCTCAGCCGGGTCCTGTCGAGGGTGGAGCCGGTTCTTCTTCGTCGTCTCCTGACACCACTCCTCCTCCTCACCCCTACCCGACTCGTTACCAGGCCCTTCTTCGTCTAGAGCGTGAGGAGCAGCAGCGTTTGGAGCATGAGAGGTCGGAGGTTCAGCAGCGGGTGGAGCGTGAGCGGTTACAGTTGCAGCAGCAGCAGCCGCAGCCACAGCCACAGTAGTAGCAGCAGCAGCAGCAGCAGCCGCAGCCGCCGGAGCCGCCGGAGCAGCCTCCGGCCCCTGTTTCTGGCCTTTGGGCCATTGGTCTCCCCTCCTCTCCTCCTGTGTTCGATCCCACGTTTCCTCCTCCGGACTCCACTCCGGCTGTCTTCCCTCGTTCTCAGTCTCCTCCGTCCCCCCCTCCTCTCGCCCACACTTGGGCCTCTCGCCTTCCTCGTGCTCGTCCCTCGTCCCCTGTCACTGACCTCCGTACCGTGTTGTTTCGTCCTAGTCCTCCTCGTTCTCCTCCGTCTGTCCTTCCTCGTCCTCCTGAGTCTTCCCTCACTGCCTCCCTGTCCACTCCGGTCACTGACTACTACCGCACGTACCGCCCCACTCTCTCTCTCGTGTTCTCGCCTCTCTTGTTACAGACCCTCGTGCCTCTCCTTCCTCCGTCGCGGTCCTCACTGCCGCTGTCACTGACTTTACTGCTACGCGTCGCCTTGACTACGCCACTCGTGTTGTGGCCGCTCCTCCTGTCCGTCCTCTGTCCGCCGGGGGTGTGTCTGCCCTTGGTTGTGACGTCCTAGAGGACAGACAGTTTGAGCTAGAGTTCCTGGCAGCTGCTTCGCCTCATCTCTGTGCCATGCTGCTCACTCCTGAGGGAGACCCCGATGCTCCTGACATACCTACTCCTCGCACTTACGCTGAGGCAGTGTCAGGGCCTTGGGCCTCTCAGTGGAGAGCTGCCATGGACGCAGAGATGGCCTCCTACAGGTCCACAGGCACTTACGTTGACGAGGTTCCCCCCCCAGGGGCGAACATTGTTGACGGCATGTGGATCTTCAAGGTGAAGCGGCCGCCGGGATCTCCCCCAGTCTTCAAGGCACGCTACGTGGCTAGAGGGTTCAGTCAGCGCGAGGGGGTTGACTTCTTTCAGACCTTCGCGCCCACCCCGAAGATGACCACTCTTCGGGTGTTACTGCACGTAGCAGCGCAGAGAGACTACGAGCTACACTCTCTTGACTTCTCCACTGCCTTCCTCCAGGGCCGCCTACACGAGGAGATCTGGCTGCGTCGTCCTCCGGGCTTCACTGGCACTTTCCCGCCTGGGACCCAGTGGAGCCTCAGACGACCGGTCTACGGTCTCCGCCAGGCACCCCGTGAGTGGCACGACACTCTCCGCTCTACTCTCTCCGACCTCGGGTTTGAGCCGTCTTCCGCCGACCCGTCGCTGTTTGTTCGTCGTGGCCGTACACCTTTCTTCGTTCTGGTCTACGTTGACGACTTGGTTTTTGCCACAGCCGACACAGCTGCACTGGCGGAGGTGAAGTCCGAACTGCAGAAGAGACACACCTGCACTGACCTTGGGGAACTGCGCCGCTACCTTGGCTTGCAGATCTCCAGGGACAGAGCCGCTCGCACCATCACTCTGACTCAGTCACACATGGTGCAGCAGGTCCTTCAGCGGTTCGGGCTTCAGGACTCTTCTCCTGCCCCCACTCCTCTTGCTGTAGACCACAGACTCACTGGGTAGGTCTTTTCCTGACGAGCCGTTCGAGCCCAGTGGTCCCTACGCAGAGCTGGTGGGCTGCCTCATGTACCTGATGACGTGCACTCGCCCGGACCTCGCCTTCCCTCTTAGCATCCTGTCTCGCTTTGTTGCGACTGGGAGACACCGTCCTGTTCACTGGGCGGCGGCTAAGAGGGTGGCGAAGTACCTTGGCGCGACATCAGGCATGGGGCTTGTACTTGGAGGGACACAGCCAGTTGTACTCACCGGTCACTGTGACTCCTCCTACGCTGACGACGTTGAGACTCAGAGGTCTACGCAGGGTTACTGTTTCAGCCTGGGTTCTGGAGCTGTTTCGTGGAGGTCTACTCGGTCCTCCTCTGTTGCGACTTCTACCGCAGAGGCCGAGATCTACGCTGGGGCCCTTGCTGCTCAGGAGCTACGCTGGTTGACCTTTTTGCTCACTGACCTTGGTGAGCGGCCGAGCTCTGCACCGACCCTGTTTGCTGACAACAGGGCGATGATTCTCCTGTGTCGTGAGCCTCGACTGGAGAGCAGAGTGAAGCACATCGACGTCAGGTACTTCCTCCTTCGAGAGTTGCAGAGACGCGGGCAGGCTCGTCTGGACTTCGTGGCCTCCGAGGCCAACACTGCAGACATCTTCACCAAGGCTCTTCAGCCTTGTGACCACCGCCGGTTCTGTCTGCAGTTGGGCCTCGTTGAGACTGGGTCGAGTAGACTGCAGTAGTGAGTGCTTGTCTCTTGTCTTTGCTTGTACTGCATATATTTGCATATACACTCTTGAACTGGCCTTGTGGCCGCTGTTTGCGCTCAGACTGTGTGGTGACGTTGTGATCCACCCTGAGCTTTGTTTTGTCTCTTGTTTATGACTGGTCTTGTGACCTTAGGTTGTTTGTTGTTACTTTGCACTCCCCACTTAGGCTATGGGGGTGTGTCAAATGTTGTAGCCATTAGTGGGTTGTGCAATAGGGGGTACAAACAGTTAGGGTTTGAATATGTACCCCAATCTGTCTAATGCAACTCATTCCGCTACGTTCACTTTGTAAGGGGGATGTCCCTGTCAACAACCTAACCACAAGAATGTCAGTAGCAACACGCCCCCCTGCTCCAGCACACAAGATGTCTCATCATTTCTTATGCAACACCGATGGCGGCGGTGTGGCAGGGTTGGGATTCAGAACCGTCCCTCTCAACGACCGAATCACAATAGGCGAGTCAGCAGCAGCAGCAGCAGCAGCAGCAGCAGAACCAGGCGTCCCCAACCCCCCTCTCCTCTGCTCCGGAGTCCCCACAACACTCCTACTCCTGCTCCTGCTCCTACTCCTCCCGTCCCTCCCCGCACTCCCCCCACTCCCAACCCCAGCAGGAGAAGCGGAGTAACTCGCTCTCAGCTTCGGATCCACAATTACTTTACTCCTTTTCATCGCTCGAGACACAAGCTTCTGTGCTGCTGCTGATAATCCCCCTCCCGACGGCCCTCCTAAACCCCCTCCTCCGCTCACCAGGGGACTTTGCCCTCCCCACGCGCCCATCCCAGCACCAGCACCACCCCCAGGCGTGCCTTTCAGTCCAGGAGACACGAAAGGCGACATCATCCCTCCTCCTCCTCCCCCTCCCCCACCTCCTCCTCCAGCCCCTCTCACAGGAGTCAACCCAGCAGCTCTCAGCCTTCTCTCTCGAATGCTCCTCCCAGCCGACCGAGACAGCTTCACCCCTGCTTCATCCCTCGCTGGTGCAGCAGCCATGGTGAATTGCGGGCCCCCAGCACCCATCCCCACCTCGTTGAACCCCACTGGAGTGTCCTCAGCGTCTAAACGCAGAGGGGTGCCGTCTAGCTCTCCCCAGGTCATGAAAGGGGAGGCATCAACGCCAGGAGCAGGAGATGGTGTTGCTACATACTCATATCCCCCCCTTTCACCTCTTCCCACTCCTCCTACCCCCCCTCCGCCTGCTCCTCCTGCTACCCCCACTCCTACAGGTGTTCTCCTCAAATCCTCCAAGTCGTATCTCTTTCTCCCATCGCGCTCCCCCGAAGGGTCAATGTAAGGCAAAGGGGTTCCCCCCGGTAACGGCGTGAACAGTGCTGCAGCGACTTCCTCTGGCGGCTGCTTCTGCTGTTGCGCCGCCTGGTTACCACCACCCGTAACACTTCCGTGAAACCTCGTGTTCGCTTTATGGACTTCCTTAGGCGGCCCTGCTGATCGTAGTTCCTTTTCTCGCACGGAAAAAGGGGCATCCTCTCTACAAGCAGCCGGGTACATAAGCGCATTACGCGCAGTGTATTTCCACGTTTCGAGTGTACTAGTCGGTTGCCCCGACGACCCAAACCCGTCCGTTTTCCGATCCTCGTTCTCACCCGTCCCCGTTAGAAGCTTCACCGTTTCTCCTGAGCCAGTCAACTGCTTCACCCCTGCTCCGCCTTCCCCCCCTTTTTCCCCTTCCGCTCCTTTCCCTGGGCCCTGTTCTAATGCTAGCAGATGCGCTACCTTAGCCATGCGCCGCCGATTATCCTTCTCCTTAATCTCCACAAACGAAGCGTTATCCTCGCTGGTGTACCTCTTAACAAATTCGTCAAGCGACAGGCTTGTATCGGGTCCTCCGCCCCCCTCTCCCTCTCCAATCTCCCCGACTCCATCCGTCCCCACTGCTCCCGCCGCGGCCGCCGCTGCTGCTGCTGCTGAATCCCCCGCTACTCTCTCCCTGCTACCTATCCTCCGCCCTGTTAGTCTCTCCTCGTCTCTATCCCATTCCGACGTCCTTAAACCACCTTCGGATAAGAGGCTAGGCGCGGGACTGGGAGCGCCCGCGGAAAGCGCGGGAGTCGACAGGGAGGACCTAGGAGTACCCCCAACTGACGAACCGCCTCGACCGCTACCGCGGCTCGAATCCCCACCAGCAGCAGAAGCTTCCGCGCGCCTTCTTAAAATATTCACCTGTGCCTCGCGAATCTGCACGGGATCACCGGATCGTACCGCTTCCAACCACTCCAACCGGTTCTGGAGCCGTGGCAAATCCGGAAAGTAATCCCGCTGAACGATCCTCTCAATTGCTTCGATATACGTGTCCTCGTCAAGAACAACGGGCGCGCGACGGGGACGCGGGCGCTTGGCGGGAGGCGGACCCATGAGCTCCCCGCGCCGAGGGGTGGCGGAAGGAACGATAGCGGCAGAGGTAAGTGCGGTGGTAAGAGGTAATGATTTGGCTGAAGCGGCTTTTGCAGGAGGTGAGTCCTTAGAAGCGGAAGGAGGCGAAGGAGGATCGGAAGAGGGAGGAGGCGAGCTGATGTGGCGCGGGGAATGACCTGGCGAAGCCAACATCGCGAAGAAATTGATCCGACGACAGAGCCGACGACAGTTACCGATATAGCGGAATTCAGCGGCAAACTGGAAAGCTTTTACTTCGCCAGAGAAGTTACTAATATAAGACCTGCTTCTCCTCTCAAGAAACTCGCAAGATTTGAGCAGACTCAAGCGAACAACCCCAAAAAACCCCCGCCGTGACTGAGGTGGTGGTGAATGTGTGAAGCGTCGATTCTCATAGCACCTTGATTGTCAGGTCAGGTGGAAGCCAAGGCGACAGGCTCGAGGGGAGGGAAAGCTGTTGGCGGGAAGCCACAAAAGAGAGAACGATGCAGCAGTCAGGGTTGCGACAGGTATGGGGGCGTGAGCGACTTGTGGCGAAATGTTACCTGAAATCGAGTGCCGAATGGGAGCTGCCTCGGGAACTCCGTTCCGTTTGGTATTCGGCATTCAATTCAGGTGTTTCAGAGTATGCCGTATGAATATGAGAATGTACATATCAGCAATAAGCATTGAGATCGTTCTATTGGCAGTTACACAAATACATAGAGACAAGGTGCAGCCACTTCACCGCTTCAGGTCCGCCCTGTCGACATGAATTGCCTTGCTGTGTTTTCACGAGTTCAATTTGGGTGACCACTTGATTGCTTGCTGCATCTACTCCGACCCTTGGTATTTCCCTCATCTTATTAGTCCTGCTTTCCCCCGTTAACCTGGCTAATTTCTTTGCATTTCACACTGTTAACCAGTTCGGTCAGGTTGACTATTCTGTACCCTTGCTGCTTCAACTCGGGCAGCAAAATCCGTAATATCTGCTCATGAGGCAATGTAGGGTGGATAGGATTCAGGAGAATACAAGAGGTGGCACTTTGTCACGAGAGTAGTAAGAAGGAACATGTCAGAGACAATTATGGGGAAACATGGATGAAAGGCGCCAGGAGCAACAGGATATAGCAATGAAGATTCCTCAAAACATTCTAATATAGCCCATAGAACATCCTGAATTCTCAAGAACAGCAGAAAGGCTCATGGAAAGGGAGACGGGAATTCTGTAGGCTAGCAATGAGTGGCGTTGGTGCAAAGAGTGGGGCGTACATGGTTGGTTTGTGGGCCCTGCTGGGGGCGATCATGAAGGATGATGATGGCCCCTGGGTACATCTGGTCGGGAGCATAATGTTAGGGATTGGATGGATGGAATGGGAACTATCTGAAGACTTTTGCACATATTGATGGCTCATACATGTGCGTGGGGAGCGGTGAAGGAAGGGATGCTTGTGTGTCAACCACCTTCCACAGGCAGGAGTGGGAACAAAAGGCGCCAAGCCCTTGTGGGTTGGGTCTCAGGGCAGCAGAGTGATTGAATAACCAGCACAGGCACCAACAGCCGCACTCACCTTCCACAGGCAGAAGCGGGCAAGGAAGGCCCCACAGCCCTTGAAGAGCGGGTCCAGGGGAAACACGGAGCCCAGGGCAAGCCTGTACCCGTGGCTGAGCGCCCTGTGCTGCATGTGCGGCGTAGCGAAACCATAGCCCTGGCAGAGGAAATCAGCAACAGGGGAGAGTGGAGTAGAGTGAGTGGGGCTAGTACCCCTGCACAGAGGGAAACACAGAGCCCAGGGCGAGCCTGTAGCCACGGCTGTGCGCCCTGAGCTGCATGTGCGGTGTAGCAAAACCATAGCCCTGGCGTGGAGGGCAGGCGGGATAAGACGGCAGCAGGGAAGGGAACAGCAGGGGAGAGTGGAGAGTTAATCGGAGTGGCTGAGGCTAGAAACACAGAGCCCAGGTCCGAGTCCGTACCCGTGCTGCTGTGTGAGTGAAGGGAGAGGAACGTAAGGCCTGGACGGAAGGTGTTGTGGTTGGAGGCGTGTAGTGGTGAGATGGGTGTTTAGGGTGTAGTGAATAAGTGTAATGGTTAGAGGGGTCGGTTACAGAGAGTGCAGGAGAGAGATCATTAAATTGAGACTGTAAGAAAGGTAGAGATGCCATTTGCTGGGAAATCACGACACAAGATGGGGCCTTACTGGTCTGAACCACTTAATTTGACGGCCATGGGAGTCAAGCGGGAAGAAGCGGTGGAGCTTGGCGTCCACCTCGAGCATGGATGCCATGAATTGCTTCTATGGCATTTGGGGAGGGGCGCGAAGGTGGAGGGGGGGGGCGAAGGCATTGGTATTTTAAGAAAATGGATTGGGGGATGTCAAGAGGATGTCAAGAGGATGCCATGAGATGCGTTTGTGGGGGACTTGAGAGGGATGGAGAGGAGTTACTGGATGGTGGCATCTTAGTGTGAACGAAGTGTATGAAAAGTGGAGGGAGCATGAGGAGGGCCTGAGTATGGGAACACATACAAGCACCATGCGGAGTATGAACGATGGACTTACTCACAAAAACACAAGTACCTACACTGAAGATGCACGTAAGGGCACAAGTACGTACAGTGGAGAGCAGGCAGCCTGGATAGTCCGCCATCATGTGATTCGCCACTTCATGCCCTGCCATTACGCCATGGGGAAATGACAGCAAATATGAGAGTTCTCATAAAATTCTGTTCTCAACAGAAATTCGTATTTTTTACCCAATGGCACAATAGGAGGGGACAACGTGGGACTTTCGAAAATTGTACTGTACCCGCTTGCGCTGTATCAATTGAATTAACCCCCTCCACCTCACCACACCGCACCACACCACTCAACATCTTGCATCATGAGCTCCACGAGGTCGGGGTATTTATCAACGTTAGACCGTACGGCACCATACCGCACTATACCGCACCACACCGCACTACGCTGCACCACATACCATCTTGTACCATGCGCTCCACGAGGTCGGGGTGTTTATCAATATTATACCATACCACACAGCACTACACTGCACCACACTGAACTACGCAGCACCACACCACATACCGTCTTGCACCATGCGTTCCACGAGGTCGGGGTACTTATCAATATTGGACCCGATAAGGAAGAAGGTGGCTGAACACCCGTGCTCCTTGAGAATATCCAGAGTCTGCTCCAAAGAGTGGGTGGGGAGGAGTGGGGATGGGTGGAGATGGACGGGGTGGAGGGAGGGGGAGGGAGGTGGCTGAACACTCGCGTTCCCTGAGAATATCCACAGTCTGCTCCAGAGAGTGGGTGGGGAGGGGCGGGGATGGGTAGAGACGACTGTGTGGAGGGAGGGAGAGTACGCGAAATGACATTGTTCTGGAATCTGCCTGTGTGCTTCAAGTCGAAGCACACAATTTAGACTTGCATCAGTGGAAAACAACCGATTCCTGTGGACCAAAAAACAATAACACTGTACCGTGGGTGTGCTGAAAGGTAAGTCCGAAGGAATGTGCGCTAAGAGTGAACGCAAGCTTTTGCAGCATCATTGAGGAATCAGCTCAAGAGAACGCAAGCTCACCTCGCAAGTGAATTTGCCGTTGGGACCATCATCGATTGTGAGTCCCACAATCTTCTCTGAGAAGAAGGGAACGGCGAGCAGGGAAAATACTTAAGATTTGGAAGGAGCAGAGACTAGAAGTTGTTGCGTCCCTAGCATTCATTCGAGGACCAAAGCCTCAGAAACATGTCAGCGCGGGCAAGTGCCAAGAGAAAAAAAAAACTGTTGCGAGCTATCCTACTGTTTGATCACATCTCTTTTACCTTTGGTGTCAACTTCAAACAGCACTGCTGGCTGGAAGAAGCGGCTGATGGCGATGGCCCATCGCGGCTGGAAGACCACCCTGGGAACAAAGGTCGGAGGTTGGGGTTCGTGGATGGATGTGTCACAGAGAGAAGCCACTTGGCGAAGGAAAACTGAAAACGTTACCGAAACAGAAGTGAAGGAAACATATGTGAAGCCGACCGAATTCCCATAACGCGTGGAGCCACGCTACACATGATACAACAACTAGGGCAACTATACATAACTTTTTTTTAGAAAACAACCGAGTACCAAGCACTGGTACACGAGAAAAGCGTCACAGATTTCTAAGGGGAAGAAAGTGGTGGGAGACGGTCACAGAGGATTAAACGCGTGAGGCAGAATCGAGGGAATACGTCAATCCAGAGATGAACACTGCCGGCCTACTAGTAATGTCTCAAGGTGCGTATCCAAATGCTAGTAACAGCTCGAAACATATTTCACACCGCATGCGCGAAAAAAAATAGCCATGAGAACTAAACTAGGAAGCTTAACCCTGGTCCTTTCTTAATAATCTCAGAGACGTACCCGACTACTGTGAGAACGACCGCAATCAGGCAAATGATGCTGGCGATTGGAGATTGGCTGATCCAGACAGGACCGTTCGCTTGGCTGACCCCGAATAGAAATTCCACGCCGAACATTGCGATAATAGGTGGCTGTTATTAGAAATAGTCGGTACCGTATTGAGGAAACTAGTAAATAGTCAAGTATCGAAGGCTCTTATTGAAGAAAGGGGTATAGGGTCACGAAACGGTTTGGAAGTTGGGGTATTCGGGACGATCACAGTTTTCAGCTTCAGTTAACTAGCCGACGCACTATTTACGCTCTCGAAGCGAAGTGTCAAGAAGGCTTTTTCACAAGCATTGTCCGCTATTGAGTCATGGTGGAGTCATGGATCCTGGAGTGGACGATTGTTTGAAGATTGAAGTTGGTGATGTGTAATGTGGGGTGGAGGTGGTGCAACAATGATGGTTGGATTTGAGACGGACGGTGAGTGTACGATAGGTTGGTGATGGATGGTGATGAACACAAACATTTACCACTGCCAATCTGGACCGTCGGATTGCACCCCAGCAACCTAACAGCACAATTACGATCAGGCGGATTCAGGGTGTCGCGGTGTGTCAGGGTGTCAGACCCTGGCGGGAAAACCATGATACTACAAAGGCGTTCCCGCACGAAATGCCGACTTATAAAAGAACAGTTACAAGCAATTTTCAATCTGAAACACATATAAAAAAAGAAACAACATTATTAGACCTGCTGGCTTCATAAGCTCATCTCTCTTAACTTTGACCTCTTGAAGATGCCTCCACTGTAGCAAATACAGGCAAGGATGCGCGATTGCCTTCTCTATTCCCATCTGCAGCGAGCAATGGGGATCCATCCCCTTCCTTCGGTTCCCTTATTACACCCATGCTCTTTGACACAGGCACTCGAGTTTCCCCATTCATAGCAGCAGAGGCCACCGCCGGGAAGGATGCAGATGCTGTGAGTGGTGGCGTTTGTGGTGGGCCAAAGAGATAGTTGTAGGTGCTGGTGCTGAGCTGGGTCATTGAATCACGGAATTGAGAAAGCTGGAGAGTGGGTGCAGGGAGGGAGACAATGATGGGGGGGTCACAGAACAGGAAACATTGTACAATGCAGGGGCTGAGGTCACTTGACACAGAATGCATCAAAATAGGGGGTGAAAGGCGCAGTTTGGATGGGACAGAAGCATGTGGAGTGCTAACACAGGAGGAGAACAAACCTGAGTTGATGCTTGATCGTAGAATTCCAATGTCACATCTCCAGCATACGCAAAGCGGTTGACCCACACTGCACAGCGCCACAAGCAGATAAGATTTCACATATAGCACCACAGTGTCACAGAAGCTAAAGAGCAACTACAGTAATTTTGACCACCATTGAACTCCATAAATCACATAATTGCCTGACCATTCAAGATGTCGTCCTTCCACCGTAATAATTAAAATGCTTACGAATTTCATACCTGGAGTGGGACCAACGCCGAGCGCTTGACAGAATTCGTCACAAAAGTGATTGCAATTTCGTGCCAGCATGTCGTATGAGCGCCCTGGCCATTCTTTACTCAATCTTCGGAGCAGCTCGCCTACTTTCTTCTCCCCCATCCCTGTGACACCCATCTCCACCGTCTCTCTGAATGTGTACATGGGGTTTCCCTTAGGCGGACAACTGAACACCCCTGACCCGCGCTCGCAATAGCCAAATGACCATTCTTCACCATAAACCTGATTTTGAAGGAGATCAAGAGGGATCCGGGTGACGGGAAGAGAAACAAGGAGGGAGACAAGTGTGAGAGGGAAATGCAGCGAAGTCGACACGTTAGTGGGGAATCATGACAACAACGAACAGGGCGGGGAGACAGAGTAAGAAATCAGGAGCGCGCAGAACGGAGAACAGAGAGATGGTAGTATGGATAGAGCTCTTTATAAAACAGAAAGACCAGCCGAACGCGCGAAGAAATGGTGACAAAAACGGAAGGTAACTTCAGTCAACAATAGCTTGATTAGTTTCAAGAACGCAACTGCACGCCCCCACACACTGATCAGAAATGAATAACTGAAACCAATTTCGATCCTGTCTAGGACATGACGCACCGAAGCTTCCACCAAAAGCCGGTTCGTAATCAAGCATTACAACGAAACTCTATGGCTCAATGTAAGACGGAATAAAAGGCACCTTGTGATGCTGCTTAGCTAATCTCGAACTGAACGAATCCCCAGGCCATAAGCTAAAGAATCTTCTCGCTTCGGACACAACAGAAACTCCTCGGCCTCATGGAAGATCTCCCGCAAGTATGAGTCCAGCTACGACTACGGATTCATAAGGGTGTTACACGAAAGATTACGAAAGAACTCTACGGCTCAAGCTACAGCGGCCCACAGGACCTCTAAAACCTGACTTTAAAATGACTACGACGCACCTACAGACCTACGGAACATTACACCAGCACTGCGACGTCACTCCAAATTGATTAACTGCGCACCTCTACAGCTCCATGGAAGATCCCGCCGATTCCGAGCGCGTCCTTGGTGACCCTGTTGATTTGAAGAATGGCGTTGTTCGTCTTGGGATTCGGGCTGTTCGTGATATCGTAAACATGCAAAGAAACTTTCGCCATGACTCTCCACGCCCTATCCGCCTTTGGAATACTAGCAAACACCAGACGGTTTTGAAATTTGAGGTTTCGTTTAAGTTCTGAAGAAGCAAAATCGAGCTTCCACCACGTGACCTACCACGCTAGCTACCTTCAAGACAAAAACGAAAGTCAGTCATTGACCGCCTAGAGCTGGGTAATCAGTCCGACAGTTAGCCAGTCTATCACACCGTTTCGCTCCCAGCAGCCAAACGGAGGAACTAGAGAATACAACCAAACGGCAAGCTCTTAGGGGAGTCACGCATCACGTCCTTCACTACCGTACCCAAGGTTGTAAGAATCGCACAGTTGGAGGCTGCGGAGCTTGTCCTTCAGGGCAACCCCCGTCAACCAGGTCCCTGAATCCCTGATTCCTGATCCCTGAAGTGTTCGGATACGGAAGATGGGCGAAATACGGCGGAAGGCGGCGAAAGACGGCGAAAGGCGTGTGAAGCGGGGTGGAGGTCGTGGGCTGGGGCGGCATGGAGCGGTCAGGCAGAAGTGCTGGGGGCAAAGGGGTTTGGCGGGAGCGGAAGCATCTCCCCACCCGCGGCACTTGGCCAAGCCTTGGCTGACGGAAAGTGGAGGGACACCCAAAGCTTGCACGTCATTGGTCAGCTGCCACCAAGCCCCTACAGGATTGCGGTTTCGCTAAAAACTGCTCGCTGCAGTGCGGGTCCTCGCAGCTAAAAACGAAACGATCAGAAGTGATACAAAAAAATGGCATTCATAAGATGTTAAGAAGATAACGGGTCCTCGGTAAACAATGGTATATTCTGTGTATGGAACTACGGGCATTTGCGATGCACATACGCAGCTCCATGCTCCTCATACCTGAAAAAGCGAAACACAGTGGTTAAAACAACTATTTATAATGTCCGTTGAGCCTTGGTTGGTACAACTCGCACTGGACCACTCACTCTGCCTTGGAGAGCCACATTTGTTGAAAAGAACCCAAGGAAGCGAGGATGCTACCTCCAATCCATACACTGTACAAACACATACCACCAAAAAACAATTGTGGAAACGGTGCAATACATTAACCAAATCTTTGAGAACAATGAAGGATGGTATGTGCAATTGTACAATACCTAAACTTCCTTTCAATAACATTGCCGCTTGCCAAAACCTTAACTTTTGCTGTTTGCGGGGCCTCCTGCAGAGGGTTAGACACAGAGAAAACACCATAACGAAGCAAAGTGAGAGCCAACCAGCAGGAGAGCGACCCACAAACAACCACGTAAGAAAGGAAACGCAATGCAGAAGCCAATGTTTTTATTATGCATAAAAGAAAGGGTGGGTGCGCGGGAAACAAGGGAATTAACATTTTTTTATTGCTATGTGGTGACTCACCGCCATGAGCTCCTTCTCCAGGCGCTCTTTGATCTGCTGCATGGCCATAGTGCCTCCTGACAACTGCCAGAATCGCATATGCACACACATAGGAAGGGGACGAAAAGAAGAGTGATCCCCTCTTTCAGCTACAGAAACCAGGATAGGGAGCAGGAAGAAGGGCGATTTCAAGAGCTGCCAAAAGCTGGCAATGGTTGCCAAGGCACAGTTACTAATATGACTCTCACCAGCACAGAGCTGTACAGGTCCTTGCGGATATCCACATCGCACTTGCTGATGCTGTCAACCACTCTCAAGCATTGCTGCCATTGGCACCAACATTCCATCACCCCAATCGTGCCATGGAACTATCATACCACTGCATCGTTCTCTCACCAGCACAGAGCTGTAGAGGTCCTTGCGAATATCCACATCGCACTTGCTGATGCTGTCAACCACCTGAGAAGAAGCAGGAGGGAGGATGAGGAGGAGCGGAGAAGGGGTTGACAACATGTGCAAGAGACTGCGCAGAGAAACATCACCACAATGCGTCCAAGCCAAGCTTGTACCAGTCTCACTATCCCCGGTGCCTCGGCTCCATCAGCAACGGCACCAGTCATCTTTCAAGTCAACTCCGAAGCAACCAAAGCCTTCAAATAAAGAACTCAAAACCCCGCGTGTTGCTCTGGTGTTGAGCGCTCAAAACCCTCGTCATCCCCTCGTACCATTCTCGCTATCCCCGGTGATTTGGCTGCATCAGCAATGGCCTCTGCTGTCCATCCCCCACTGGAGGGGTCGGCTGAAGCAATTGACTGGAGAAAAGGGGAAGTGGTGGTGGCCAGTGGGGAAGCACGGATTAGTAAGAGGAGGAACAAAGGCCTCCCGGTGACTTGGCTGCATCAGCAATGGCCTCTGCTGTCCATCCGCCACTGGAGGGGTCGGCTGAAGCGATTGACTGACGGGCAGTGGGGGAGGGGGAACAAGGGCAATGAGGAAGGGAGCGAATGGGCGAGTGAGGGAAAGGGTGAACGGGCAGCGAGCGAAGAGATTCAGAACAGAATATAAAAACGTCGCACGGAACGGAAGTGGATCGAATTGTAAAAAACGGGAGAGACAGAGTGGAAGAAGGGAGAGTAGAAGCGTAGGGCGCAGAGGCAGGTAACTTAGGCTGGCAATGATACACTGGGGCAGACGTGTGACTTGGGCAGGCGATATACAGGCAGGTGGCACCTGGGGCAGGTGGCAACTGAGGCACGTAGTGCAAGTGAATAGTACTCACAGAGAGAAGGCTTGGATTGAAAAGCGCGTCAGCCACTTTGAACCGGTCACTGCCCACCTCCAGTACCCTGGGAGGAAGGGGAAATAGGGGGAAGGTTGTACTGGTTTGAGTTGGGTTAGAATGGGTGGCGTCAGGTTGACTCGAGTTGGTTGAATTGGCTTGGATTAAAGAGGGCGTCAGCCACTTTGAACCGGTCACTACCCACCTCCAGTACTCTGAGATGGGAGGACGGGTGTTGTGTTGGGTTACATAGGAATGGGTTGGATAGGGTTGGGATGGTTCAGGTTGGATAAAAGCCCAGACCATACCCACCATGTGTTACAACCTACCCAAAACCACCTTTTGATGCCACTCCTCCCTTCAACCGTTCACCAAACCCCAGCCTCTAGTGCCACCCCTCTGCATCCCATTCAGCCGTTGACCCAACTCCACCACCCCACTTAACCCAGCTCCACAATTAACCCAACCACACACCTGTCGACACCCCTCTCAATCCCATTCAACCACTCACTGGCCGTCTGGCAGTTCATAGGCCACTGTGGGGACATTGGAGAAGGAAAGATCTGAAAGGACATGCATGGCGGGAGGGTGGGACAGAGAGGGTTGTACACAGTACATTATTACGTGAAACTGAAAAAAAATCACCACCACCCACCACAGACTTTCTAGCAGAATATTAATGCAGGAGGCACAATTTCCATAGAACTACGTACGGCCTTTTTATTCTAGGCAAAAAGAATCAGGTGAATGCACACCATCATCGAGAAGGGAGCATCATGGTCTCCACAGCCGTTCAGATTCAGGCAGCCACAACCACCAAATTTCAGGCAAAAAGCAGCACACGCACCATCATAGGGAGCATCAGGCACGCGGCACACGGTCTCCTTCATATCTGCTGCTGTCGCCTTCTGCATGTAGAGGCGGTAGCTGTCCGTGGTGTTGGGATATGCCTGGTCTACCAACTGAGAGAGAGGCAGAGGGAGGGACGGAGAAAAGAAGAGGGAGAAAGAAAAAAGAGCATCAGGCACATGGCACACTGTCGCCTTCTGCATGTACAGACGATAGCTGTCTGTGGTGTTGGGGTAAGCCTGGTCTACCAGCTGGGAGGGGGGGAAGGAGAGGGAGGGTGGGAGGGAGCAGAGAAATGGGCAGAGGGAGCATGGAACACACACGGTCTCCTCTCCTTCATGTCTGCTGCTGTCGCCTTCTGCATGTACAGGCGATAGCTGTCTGTGGTGTGCGGGTAGGCTTGGTCTACCAACTGGGAGAGAGGCAGACAGAGAAAGGGCATTGGGCACAACACACACGCACTGGATGTACAGGCGATAACTGTGCGTGGTGTGTGGGTGGGCTTGGTCCACTAGCTAGAGAGAGAGAGGCAGAGGGAGACGGAGGGAGCGAGCAAAGGGAGAGGGAGGAGCAGCAGAGGGAGCATGGGGCTTACAAAAGAACTCTCCTTCGTGTCTGTAGCCTTGTGCGTGTGCAGGCGGTAGCTGTATGTCTGCTTGCCAAGGAGAATTGGTGTTTTATAGGACCACGACTCGCGCACAAAAGAGTGACGAGAAAGCGAGGGTCGAGCATAAACGAATTTCAAGCAGGCCAGGAAACAGCATACCTCAAACTGGCCAGGTCGGATCAACACTCGCTTGAACGAGAACCGTGGGCGGACCTGCAGACAGTGACACAAACGCGAGGGAAGGGATAAAAGAGGCTGGCTGGTTGGAAGAGATTTCGGCCAGGGAATGTTTATCCCTCCAACGAATGGCCCTTCTATTAAAAATACGTAATAGGTACAGCACAATAGTAAAACGGGAATGGCTATTCCTGCCACTGACACGTAGACAGTCAGTTGATGCTGATGCCACATCCTATAAAGCCGATACTTTCACCTCTCCCTGCCAAAATCGCACCCTTTCACTGCGCTGAAGCACGCTTTGCTGGTCACAATAGATAGACTGCAACTCTTGTACGCCCAGATGTACTCTCGCTATCCTTCACGCTTGCCTTTTGAGCAGGTTCAAAGGGCATTCCCAGTCATGCATTTTGCCTGACTCAAAGGGCAACCCAGTCACACCTTTTGCCTGCCCACAGATCGTAGGAGGAACTCTGTGAGTGCATCCCCGGCCACTGGTGAGCGACGGAGAGACTGAGAAGGGGGAATGAAGAAGGGTGGAGAGGGGTGAAGAGGGGTGGAGAGGAAGTCAGTGAGTGCATTGCCGGCCACAGGCATGGGATGGAGAAAATTCAGAGAAAGACGGGCAGAGAGTTTTGAAACTGCTAAGATATTGACGCACAAGTCGAATATGCATTTATTGCAGACATGCATATATACGTAATTTTATATACACACATACATACATGATATACTTCTATCCATTCAATGCAGAGCACAAGCATCTCACCTTTTGCAACACATATCCGTCGTGCACTGCTGCGACTGTTGTGGATGAAAACCCGCTGCCAGCGCAAGGCACGGGTAAGCAGAAGAAAACAAGCACAAACGCGGAAACAAGAAAAGTGGGGTTTTATTTCTTGAGATGTTTATGAGGGGCCTCAAGATTACATTGCTGTGGATGAGAACTCACTGCCAGAGGAAAGGATGGGGAAGCACAAAGAAAAGAAGTAAGTGCTATTGCAGTAACAAGAAAAGGAGGTACTTCAATTTTTACACCATCCTGTTGTGTTGACAATGACAACCCTCCCTCCCATTACCAGCGCACCTGTCGACGACAAGAGAGGTGGTTTTTCCCACAGGAGAAGGACGTCAGAACAGCATTCCTTGCCAGGAACACGGCTGGGGGAGAGGAAGAGATTCACCTGCAGCCCTGTGAAACCCCTTACACCTCCCTACTGTTATCAACGCACCTGTCGACGACAAGCGAGGTGGCTTTCCCACAGGAGAAGGACGTCAGAACAGCATTCCTTGCGAGGAACACCGCCGGGGGCCCGAGCGTTTCAAACATGAGCTGCACTGTTTTTTCCCGCGCTGCTGGCGGGTTGAAGGAGGGCTCTGCCAGCAGCACTGCATGCTCCTTGGGGTCTACCAGTAGGCGGTCCCTGAAATGTAGGGAGGAGGGGACCGGGAAGGAGAACGGGAAGGAGAACGGGAGAAAGTGGAGGGGTGCAGAGAAAAAAAGGTTGGGAGGACGGCTCTGCCACCAGACCAGCACTGCAAGCTCCTTTGGACCCACCAGCAGTAGGCGGTTCCTGGGACAGTAAAATGCACACTTTAAGTGCACGCGTATGTTGTTGATAACAGAGTACATGCTTACCTGCACAGGGATGGTAATACACGGTAAAATAAACGCACATTTGAGCAGTTGATATCCAAATGCTTACTTACTTAAGTGCATGCTCCCAAATGGCAGCAACTCCTTCCCAGTCCGACAGTAAACCATTTGACACAGACGGTACCACCTGTGGCAGGTGCATGCGAGATTGAGAAGAGGAAACAGGGGGTGGAGGAGGTGGAGGTTATGAGAAGAACCTTTGGAAATATATGGTTGAATTAAAACAGAAGGCAAAGCATCCAGGCGGTTCATTATACTTCAGGAAAATAGTTAACACACAAATGGTAAGGTCAAATATGAAAAAACACACACAGTATAATTAGTAAAAACGGAAGAAAACAAACAGACGGAAAGAAACACCTCACCTCCATAAAATCTCGTCTGTATCCAAGAGCATTGCTCCCCACGAACAGCTTCCTCTTGCCACCTGGCGAGCTCCCATTCGCCGACGCCCCTGCTGCTGCCAGACCCCCCTCCAGCTTCACTCTCTTCGCATCTGGCCCCTCTGCTTCGCTCCCCTCTCCCCTTTTCCCCTCCTCTCCTGCACGTCCTGCATCTGCCTCTATCACACCAAACACCTGAAATGCCATGCAATGCAAGCAGCATCACAGGGTGAGAAAAAATATATCATCCAACTTGACTCAAGACAAAGATTGACGGGTGCAGCTGATATCGAAGCTATGGCCTCCAAGGGCAAGGGCGTTCATGCTCCCAGCCATCTTACACTTTCAATCTGCTCCGGGTGTAATGAGTCCGTTTTTGAGTCGACTAAAAAACGTTCATGATCCCAGCAATCTAACACTTTCAATCTGTTCCGGAAAAAAAAGGCTCACGCTTGTAATGAAAAGGCCTTCGCACGCTACATGGCTGTAGATACAATACAAAGCGATAGTGAAGAAAAGGGATAAAAAGGGGATAGTTTGGCCGTACATACCGAGGGGAAGACGGCTTTAGGAGTATCCTCCCCTGCGTATCCCGCCTTGCACGTGTGCGAGCCTAGATCCAGCACCAGTGCCGATACCTCGTCTAGTGGAGGGAGGAAAGTAGGGGGAGGAGAGGGGGAGGGGGGGAGGGGAACGGATCGGGGTGAAATATAGAAAGGGGTTGAGACAGGAAGGCTTGGTCACGAATGCAGCCTTGCACGTGTGCGAGCCCAGATTCAGCACCAGTGCTGATACCTCGTCTGGTAGGGCGAGGGTGAGAGAGGTGTGACGGGTAAGCAAGGGGGACTTTTGAGATTTTTTTCAAAAGTGTTTTCACCATCAGACCTCGTCTGGTTGAGGGGGAGTGAGTGAGGAGTGAAGTGATGGTGGTGTGGCCCCCTTGTTTATTTTAAGAACCATCAGCTACGTGTCAAAACATGTTTACCACAAGAACCACTTCTATGTCCGTACAGTCGGATCCGCCATTCCGTCGTTGCACGTGCGAACAGTTGGGACATTACTCGAAAGCATGCGATATCTGACCACATCTGTCAGGAAATCCGCTTCTAGGTTTCGGAAGAGGGAAAGAATAATCAAAAGGAAATACTGATACGAAAATACCTCCGCCGGACATGCTGCTCGCGATGCTTCTGATCCCCTACGTTGTCTCCGAGAGTACCGATTGGACGATCGCCCTGTTGGAGGCGTAGCTGCGATACAGCGATGTTCGGGTGCGAACTAGCGCGGGGTTGACATCGGAAACCACGGTTCCCAAGAAGATGCCCCGCCAACGCTGAAGCAGCGGAAATTAATTTTCCAGGATAAGTGCTCACACCTAGTTATTATACGTTCGTCGGATTAGTGTTAGCGACTGTGTGAAGGGGACACCTCGTTTTAGTTAGACCCATAACTCCCCGGGGCTATCGAGAGCAGGCAACGCCAATAGTTCTGAAATGTACTGTGAATAGTTCACAATGTTTGCAACATACCTGTTTCTGCAAAGGTTCTTGCTAGTTTGCACGTTGGTCTTGTTAAAATTTATCGCATAATTATTAGACAGTTGGAGAATCCATAACACGGACAGAGAATTTTTGAGGTCTTTTTTGTGGGTGTTGATGAAGTTATAACTACATCCCATGAATCTGCTTTATAAGAGAAGCAAAAGGTAGTCACAACTGCTCCATCCTCAACAGCCTGTATGGAGGATACGTGTTGTTCATGACTCCAGCTGTTGTTCCGCCACGGCTCAAGCATTTCCTCCTTGGCGGGGAGTACTGTACTGGACTGGATGGAGCTTCATCCGACATCGTAGGCTCCTAGGGCATCTGCTGCAGCCATCGCCTCTCCACGCAGACATTAGGTAGGTCGTAAAATAGGAGCTGCGTGCTTTATTTTCCACCGACCTTCCCTGATCACCGCCGCGTGGAAAATCTGCCGTGAATTAGCAAGTTTTATTCATGCGAAGTTTGTTTGCTCGTTTCTAAAGCTTCATTGAATCGCGTCCTTCTCACCCTCGCCCTGCGCTCGCAATGCCCCTCGCTCTATTTTCACGTCGCTCCAGTTGTAGGCATAAATACAACTGCGTACAGTTTGTAATCTTCCCTAGACTGCTATTTCCTTGTCCTCCCACCCTTCTCCCTTTACCTCTCTGCTTCTCTCCTCTCCTCTCCTCTACTCTCCTTGCCTCTCCGTTTCTCTCCCCTGTTGTCGGCTACTGGTCGGCTTCTCACCCTCTCCCTCTATCCCTCACTTTCTCTCTCCCCATCCCCTTCACAGATGGCCCCGTTATGGTTAACGCCGCAGCAGTACCTCATAAACCGCCCCCGTGCACTCTCCCTCTACCGCAATCTCCTAAGAGAGATCGGCAAAAGACCCGGGGGAATGAGCTGGGCCGCAGCAGAGAGCAGGAGGCGGGATGTTAGGATGCTGTTTGAGATGGGGAGGAGTGAATCGTCTGTGGATAATTTGAGAGAGCTGTTTCGGACAGGGGAACATGTGCTGGCCCAATTGAGAAGAGGCCATTTACCTGAAGTGGCTTATGTCTAGTCTAGCGCCTATGGTGTGTTTGGCTTGGTTTCGGGGATACGAGGTGAGGGGTCTGTTTGAGATGGGTAGGAGTGAAGCTTCAGTTGATAACTCGAAGGAGTCGTTTCGCACGGGGGAACATGTGCTGTCGCAGCTGAGACGAGGGCATTCACCTGAAGTGGCATGGCATGGTATGTTTGGCTGGACTAAGGAAATCAGTTACCCGTATTACCTTGCTTCTCCTGGGAAGGAGGCAAGTGATAGGGTCCGTTTAGGACCAATAAGGCGTAACTGAGTGTTGCACTACTGGATGCAGAGGCGAGGTACTGGTATGTGGTTAAAGTTCTGAACATTGTTCTGGTACAGTCTTTGGATATGCGTGCGTGGTGCAGCAGGGCCAGATTCCGACCATGCTTGCATACACGTGCCAAATCAATTACGGTAGCTGTTTGTCCCATCCTGCACAACCCACTCTCCAGAATGTGATGATGACAAAACAATCAGCGATATTGAACTGACATTGACATGGAGTAACAAACAAAAGCGCTACAAAGCAAAGAGTATGGTATGGGGGTTACGCATTACATTTCGAGGCGCCTCAAATACCGTCATCACCCGGATATAAGACAGTGTTGAATAGTAGACAGGGGTTGTCTATTATACGGGTGTCTCTTATAAACAGGCTAGCCTCATTATAAGACACCTATTTGTGTGTACGGGTTAAGAAAGTGTAGGAGTTAGGGGCAAATGTATAGCGAGGGGGTATCTTCTAAACGGTTCTTTGTCCATTTATAAGATTTATAAGACACCCTAAACCATCCCGTTTACAAGATAACTCAAGCATTTTTGCCCGTGTACGAGATAAGACATATATGTCTTATATCCGGGCGATGACGGTAGAACGCACAATGCAACCGTTAAATTCCACCATTACTGTAGATGCTGAGTATGAACTAGAGGCGGAGAATAGTCCGTATGGTGTCAGATAGGTTGTGTATAATGGCCTTCTCTTGCGTTACTTGCCATCCTTGTAGGGGCATCTCGTCCAAACACCTTATATGGAGGACAGACAGACGGGCCAGAAAGAGGGCGGCAAGGGTGGTCAGTAATTACGGTTGGCAACAAGCAAACACAGATAGCTAGCAAAATGGATAACTAACAGCAGTTCATAGATAGGTAACTAACAGCAGTTCATAGATAGGTAACTAACAGCAGTTCATAGATAGGTAACTAACAGCAGTTCATGGAATGATGAGTGTCCAAACTGGATGTGTTGTGCACCCATTCAGTGAATATAGGTACCGTAGCATGAAATGAAGGATGTATCGAATTAAGGAGGAGCCAAAGAAAGAATCGAAGACATACAAGCCATGACATCTGTGTGATGATACATGATCAGATTTTATATTCGTTATGAGGAACATCACATACTGTTTATGGTACGCCAGCGCTCGGGCGAGATTGGGGAGGGTGGTGCTGTTGGCTAGTCTGCGGTATACACTGGGAGGTAGTGGGACCTGTAGTGGGAATGGAGTGTAGTGGGAATGGCAGAGAATTGAAAGAGGAATGTCAGATTAAAGCCACGACTGGCTAGTCTTCGGTAGACACTGGGAGGTAGGGGGACCTGTAGTGGGAATGGGGTGTAGCGAAAATGATAGGAGATCGGAAGGGGCTCTTTAGACCAGAAAGAAAACGTTGTTGATTACCCTGAGAGAGACACCCTTGCGGGTAGGAGGCCTGTAGTGGGAATGAAGTGTGGTCGGAATGGGGTGCAGTGGGAGTAAGGTGTAGTGCAGAGGGTGCTCCTGAATAGTTTACATTCCAGCCCAGCATCAGTAGGGTTAAGGAGCACAGCACACTATGGAAGGCTGAGCTGATGCTACCTCACCTCAGCAGCGGGGGTTCGTCTGGCGCCTTGCTCCCTGCCAGCCCCCCACTCCCTGAGAGCTGCTGAATTGCCTCCAGCCCGCACTGGTCACAAAGGACCAGGGAGCCCCGTCGGGACTCGTAATCCCCCGACCATAGCACTAGCAGCAGCAGAACCCAGCGCAAGGACCAGGAAACTTTTGAGTCGACTCAAAAGTCACCAGGAAACTTTTGAGTCGACTCAAAAGTCACCAGGAAACTTTTGAGTCGACTCAAAAGTCACTAGCAGCAGCAGAACCCAGCGCAAGGACCAGGAAACTTGATCTGCCTCACCTCAGCAACAGGATTTCATCTTGCGCCGTTGCTGCCTGCCAATCCTCCGCTCAATGACAACTGCTGTATTGCCTCTAACCCGCACTGGTCAAAGGGAGCCCCGTCTCCCTCAGGACATTGTAACCCCTCCCCTCTTCGTATCAGTATTGCTATTGAAGGAGCATACCACAGTATGGGAGGTTGCTACTCACCTCAGCAGCGGGAGTTCGTCTGGCGCCCTTGCTGCCTGCCAGCCCACCACTTCCTGAGAGCTCCTGAATCGCCTCTAACCCGCACAGGTCAGAGGGAGCCCCATCGGGAGTTGTAACCCCCCAGAGTGCTGGGATCAAAACCAAGTACGGGGATCAAGAGACCTGCCTGTTACTCACCTCAGCAGCGGGTGTTCGTCTCGCGCCCTTGCTTCCTGCCAGCCCTCCACTCCCTGACAGCTCCTGAATCGCCTCCAGCCCACACTGATCAAAGGGAGCGCCGTCGGGGCCCGATGAGGCGATGAGGGCGAGAGGAGAGATGTCGCACGCGCGGAGGAACGGGATGGGGACCGTGTTGCCCGCTGCATACACCGCTGATAGCTGGGGGAAGGGTGGGGGGGAGGGGGGGTGGGCGTGGGGGGTGGGGTTGGGGGGAGGAATGGGAGGTGAGGTGGGGGCAAAGCAAAAGGTTGAAGGGAAATTGACAGGAGGGATTAAAAAGAGCCCCATCAGGGCCCGATGAGGCGATGAGGGCGAGAGGAGAGATGTCGCACGCGCGGAGGAAGGGGATGGGGACCGTGTTGCCCGCTGCATACACCGCTGATAGCTGCATGAGGGGTGGGGGGGAGGGAAGAGAGGGAATAGGAAAGGGAAGAGAAGGGATCCAGCATTGAGGAGAAGATGGGGAAGAGGAGGGTGAAAGCTCGTTTGGGGCCTGATGAGGCGATGAGGGTGAGAGGGGAGATGTCGCACGCGCGGAGGAAGGGGATGGGGACCGTGTTGCCAGCTGCATGCACTGCTGATAGCTGGGGGAGTGAAAGGGAGGGGATAGAAAGAGAACAAGGAAAAGAAGGGGAAAGAGGAGAAGACGAGGGTCAAAACGAGCGCCTTCAAGGATACAAGGATCACTTGCTTTTGAGGCGCCAAAATAAAAATAAAAATGAGTGACCAAATGCCGTACCCTGAGCTTGCACTCTCTCTCAAGCGGTCCGTGTATTAGATCCGAGCAAGTACAGACATGCAGGAAGGATATAGAGTCTAGCAAAAAGGCCTCTAACACTCCTATATCCTACTCACACCCTTGCTCCCTCTAAGGGAGCTCCAGAACCGGCTCCAGGATGGCCAGGCAGTCCCCACCCTGAGCTTGCACTCTCTCTCTCTCTCTCTCTCTCTCTCTCTCTCTCTCTCTCTCTCTCTCTCTCTCTCTCTCTCTCTCTCTCTCTCTCTCTCTCTCTCTCTCTCTCTCTCTCTCACTTTGCCCTGCTTCTCTCTCCCTCACCTTATCCTGCAGCCCAGGGCTGGCTCGCTGAGCGGGCTTGGTGCTATCAGCAATGGCCTGCCTCGTCCCATCCTCCATCGCTTGCCTCGCCCCCGCAAAGAAATCCGTGCCCTTGCGCCTCTTGGCTTCCAGCTCCATGCCCGCCGCTGCTGCCTGCTTCGGAGGGACAGGAGGACGCTCAGAGCGCCGTGAGGGGGCGGACCTGGGAGGGGAAGCAGGGAGAAGAGAGGAGGGAACGTGAAGGGTTGCCAGCCTCGCCCCTGCAAAGAAGTCCGTGCCCTTGCGCCTCTTGGCTTCCAGCTCCATGCCCGCCGCTGCTGCCTGCTTTGGTGGCACTGGTGGCCTTTCTGCTCTGCGAGACGGCGCAGATCTGGGAGGGAAGGGGGTAGGGAGGGAGGTGGGAGAATAGGATTGATGACCCCCAGCAAATAAATCCGTGCCTTTCCTCCTCTTCGCCTCCAGCTCCATGCCCGCCGCTGCCGCTTGCTTTGGTTGGTGGCACTGGTGGCCGCTCTGCCCTGCGGGACGGTGCAGACCTGGGAGAGGAGCGAAGGAGAAGTAGCGAGGGGAGAAAAGTATTGTTTGAAACAGCCCTAACCCCAGCAAAGAAATCCGTGCCCTTCCTCCTCTTTGCCTCCAGCTCCATGCCCGCCGCTGCTGCTTGCTTCGGAGGGACTGGTGGTCGCTCTGCCCTTCGAGAGGGGGCGGACCTGGGAGGAGTGGGGAGGGGAGGGGTGGGGAGGGGAGGGGAGGGGTGGGAAAGGAGGGCCTGACATAGTCTCCCCCCGCAAAGAAATCCGTGCCCTTCCTCCTCTTCGCTTCCAGCTCCATGCCCGCTGCTGCTGCCTGCTTTGGCGGCACTGGTGGTTGCTCGGAGCGGCGAGATGGGGCAGACCTGGAAGGGAACGGGAGCAACAGGGATACAAATGTTAACGTATCCCCGCAAATGAAACTGTGCCCTTCCTCCTCTTTGCTTCTAGCTCCATGCTTCACCCCCACCCCCTCCTTCACACTCACTTGGCCTGTGCTGGCTTGGCCTTGCGCTGCCCCCCCAAAGGTGTCAGCGCTGCGCCGATGTTATCCGAAGAAGATTCCACGCCCTCTGCTGCTCCAAGTGAGGCTAAGGAAGCAGGCAATTCCATGTTCACTGTTCATGTACCTACATACATGCTTCACCCACCCACCCGCCCTCCTTCCCACCCCACCCACACTCACTTGGCTTGTGCGGGCTTGGCCTTGCGCTGCCCTCCCAAAGCTGCCAGTGCTGCGCCGATGTTATCCGAAGACGACTCTACGCCCTCTGCTGCTGACGTGGCGGCTGCTGACTTGGCGGACGGCTCGTCTGACCTGGCGACTCGCATCGTGCCCGTGTCCATCGCTTCGTCCTCGGATTCATAGTCCTTGTTCACAAACGTGCCGAAGTCTGTGTAACGAGCAAGAAGGAGGGAGGGAAAAGTGGAAAGGTCAAGGGGGAAAGAAGGGGAGGGGGAAGGACTCATCCTTGGATTCATAGTCCTCCTTGTTCACAAACGTGCCGAAATCTGGGAAGAGAGTGGAAGTGGGGGAAGGGGGGACGGGCGAGGAGGGCACATGATGGAAGTGCCTCCTGCCGTGCCCATTGCTTCATCCTCGAATTCATAGCCCTTGTTCACACACGTGCCGAAATCTGCATTTGGTTGAGTGGGGTTGGGGCAGGATACAAGGGGTAGCGAGCGAATCCAGATTCATTGCTCAAAAACTTATTTTCTGAGACGGCCTAAAAGATTCTCAATACTTGACCAATAAGTTTTTTTAGAATTTTCAGTCCTTGACCAGTAAGCATGGCTCATAAAAATTGGAATGAGTGGGACTGGGGGGCGAGCAAGGGGGAGGGAAGAGAGGGAGGAGCCGATTGGCACCATGCCACGTAACCCGTTTTGAGAGTTCTCAAGAGTGCTTTCAACTCAGGGAAGAGAGGAAGGAGTTGACAAGAGGGACCTTTTGGATCATAACACCCACCAGGTTCATCGTCATCAGCATAGGCGGAGGGAGCAGAGCGAGCCTTCAGAATGTCCCCCCTACCCCAGCCACCTACCACCCCAGTCACCACCTACCCCAGTCACCACCTACCCCGTCATCACCTAACCCAGTCACCACCTACCCCGTCATCACCTAATCCAGTCACCACCTACCCCGTCATCACCTAACCCAGTCACCACCTACCCCGTCATCACCTAACCCAGTCACCACCTACCCCGTCATCACCTAACCCAGTCACCTACCACCCCAGTTAGTACCCACCAGGTTCGTCCTCATCAGCGTAGGCGGAGGGAGCAGAGCGAGCCTTCACCGTCCCACCTACCCCAGTCTCCACCTACCCCAGTCAACACCTACCCTAGTCAACACCTACCCTAGTCAACACCTACTCCAGTCCAACACCTACCCCAGTCTCCACCTACCCCAACTGGTACCCACCGGGTTCATCGTCATCAGCATAGGCGGAGGGAGCAGAGCGGGCCTTCACTGTCCCTCCCATGGCGTCTCCCCTCTGCTTCACTGTACCCGTGCCCATAGACTGCACCGGGGAGGTGGGGAGGGGAAGCAGAGGGATGGAAGGGGATGGAGGGTGGTGGAATGTAAGAAATGGTGGTGGCATCTCCCTTTCGAATCACCGTGCCTGTGCCCATGGACTGATTCCACCGGTAGTGACAAAGAGAGGAAAGGGATGGAGAGGGATGGAGAGGGATGGAGAGGGATGGAGAGGGATGGAGAGGGATGGAGAGACATAACGGATGAGTGCATCGGATGCACACAAGTACAACAACAGCCTAGGGCACCTGCCTCCCGTGCTACTCACATCCTCTGAGACGCTGATCTGCTGCTCCACTGCAGCAGCAGCAGCAGCCAATCTCTGTTTCTTCGCCTCCTCTCTCATCGCCTTGGCCTGGTCAATCCGCTTCTTGAGAACCACAGCAGTGTCCTTGCATCGTTCCCTGAACTTGTGCTGCATTGATAGATGCACGGTGCACCGTGCAACCACAGGCAACAGGGTGCACACACCCTTCTTTCCCCCTTGACCATCCATACCTTTCCTATGCGTGTGCACCGTGCAACCACAGGCTACCACCCCTGTTGCCCTGGCTACTCACATCCTCTGAGACGCTGTTCTGTTCTTCCAGGGCAGCAGCAGCCAATCTCTGCTTCTTCGCCTCCTCGCGCATCGCCTTGGCCTGGTCAATCCGTTTCGTGAGCACCACAGCCGTGTCCTTGCACCTCTCGATGAACTTGTGCTGCACTGACGTGAACCCCCACCCCTTGCACCCTCCACTTGAACCCCCCCTGAGCCTCAAAGCATGTTACCCTATCATACTCACATCCTCTGAAACGCTGTTCTGCTCCTCCAAAGCAGCAGCAGCCAGTCTCTGTTTCTTCGCCTCCTCTCGCATCGCCTTGGCCTGGTCGATCCGTTTCTTGAGCACCACAGCCGTGTCCTTGCACCTCTCGATGAACTTGTGCTGCAGCAGCGCTGGCGTGGTGGGGCGCTGCTTTGGTTCCTTGATCAGACACTTGGCCACGAAATCGTGGAATAAAAGGGACCTGAGGGAGTGGGGAGTGATAGTGTGTGGTGGAATGGGGTGTAAAGTGGTTCAGCTGGCGTGTTGGGGTGGGGCGCTGCTTTGGCTCCTTGATCAGACACTTGGCCACGAAATCGTGGAATAGTAGGGACCTGGAAGGGAGATAATATGCGGTACGACACGGTATGATGTGGTTCAGTTGGTGTGGTGGGGCGCTGCTTGGGCTCCTTGATCAAACACTTGGCCACGAAGTCATGGAACAGAAGTGGGGAGGGAAGGGATAGTGTGCGGTGTTCTGGTAGTTGTAATGTGTTCAGCCAACGCTGGGTTTTCAGGTTACAGGATGTGCCCTCTTCTGCTTCCCCCCCAAAATATATGCCCATACGTGAGAACTAAAAGGCCAGGACAGGAGCAGGAGCGGTTAAGAGGGAGCGTTACCATTTCTCGGGATCCTCTAATGTGGGGGAAGGTTCTCTGGAAATCATAAAAAGCACCTGGAAAGAGCGGGTGGAGGAGAGGGGCCAAAACGGGTGGGGAATATTTGAACAAGCTCCACTTGAGGGGAAGAAAATCAGATTTCACATCTGGCAAACATGATGTGACAAATAGACGATTATTCTGATGGCAGTGTGGGTGGCGTGGCAGAGTGGATAACTAAGTGGACGAGTGGACGAATAGGACAGCAACCACTCTAATGGTTCCCAAGGCAAGCAAGCACTCACTCGCATGGGATGGATGTTAGAGCGTGGTGGCAGGCCCTGCTCACACATGGGGGGTTGGTGGGGATGGCATGAGGGGAAGGTATATGTCGTCATGGCACGGTGGGATGGGAAAGTTGGTCGCCACATACATACCCTGTGCTGCCATCAGAAATGCATTACATACCACTTCAATGGCAGTGATGCCGAGCGCCCACACGCCCACCTTGCCGTCGTACAGACTGCACGGCACGCTGTGCATCCCACCCACATAGCCCGTGTCTGCTGCCCCTGCCGCAACAAGTCATACCCTGTGCTGCCTAGGGCGTGCCTAGTGAGAATACAAATCGTACCTCGGCCATCTCAATGGCAGTGATGCCGAGCGCCCACACGTCCACCTTGCCGTCGTACAGACTCTCCTGAATCACCTCCGGTGCCATCCAGTGGGGCGTGCCTATGAACTGCAGAGAGGGAGAAGTGGGAGCATGTAAGGGGAGAAAGAGGGGAGCGGGGTTGAGCACGCTTCATGGGGGGGTGTATGTGCCTCAGTTACAGACTCTCCTGAATCACCTCCGGTGCCATCCAGTGGGGCGTGCCGATGAACTGCAGAGAGGGAGAAGGGGGGAAATGTAAGGGGGGAATGTAAGGGGGGAATGTAAGGGGAGAAAGAGGGGAGCGAGGTTGCGCATGCTTTATGGGGTGTTGCATTGTATGTGCCTCTGTCACAGACTCTCCTGGATTGCCTCTGGTATCAGCTAGTACGGTGTGCCTGTGAACTGCTGCAGGCGAGGAAAGAGGGGGGCAGGGGGGTGGTACAGGAAAAGGGACGAAAGGGGAAAAAGGTGTTGTACGCGCCTAAAACAGACACCCCTGAATCAACTCCAGTGCCATCCCGTGGTGTGTGCCGATGAACTGCCAGGTGATGAGGTGGGGGTTAGAGGGAGTAATGATTGCCGCCAGTCAGATAGCACGCCATCCCAACTCTCCTCCATAACCCACAAAACCCTTCCCCATCCCACCCCACCCCTCTGTGTTTCCTCCATAACCCACAAAACCCTTCCCCATCCCACCCCACCCCTCTGTGTTGAGTTTGAACATGGTGCGAGTTAGCTGGGCCGCTTTGCGCCTGTCTGGCACTGCTGCTGCTACACCACCCCACTACACCGCACAAGAATGCACGTCATCGCTCCTCACCGTGTTGAGTTTGAAGACGATGCAGGTGACCTGGGCCGTTTTGCGCATGTTTAGGACTGCCACTGCTACACCACCCCACTACATCGCCGCACAGGACCACTCCGCACCCCACTCAGCTCACCGTGTTGCGTTTGGACATGGTGCGGGTGAGCTGTGCTGCCACCCCAAAGTCCCCCAGCTTGATCTCCCCTGAGTCGCTCAAAAGAATGTTGCCGCCCTTGATGTCTCGATGCACTTTGCCTATCTCGTGTAGGTAGGCCAAGCCCTGATGGAAACAGGGTTCAGAGTTTATTTAAAGTATTGGATTCGAGAGGGGAGAGAGGGCAGCTTGATCTCCCCGGAGTCGCTCAAAAGAATGTTGCCGCCCTTGATGTCGCGATGCACTTTGCCTATCTCGTGCAAGTAGGCCAGGCCCTGAAGTGAAATAAGGTGTGGATTTTGGGTTTAAGGGAGAGAAGAGAGCAGCACGTGTTGCGGGTCGCTGAGCAAAATGTTGTCGCCCTTGATGTCCCCCGATGCACCTTGCCTATCTCATGCAGGTATGCCAGGCCCTGAAGAAAATTAGGGTTCAGAGGGTTAGGGGTGTAAGATTGAAAAAGGCAATGAGTGCTGGTAGAATTCCTCAACCGGATACTTCCGCCCCTGATGTCTTGATGCACTTTGACAATCTCGTGCAGATACGCCAGTCCTTGAAGTGGAATAGGGAGTGGGTTTCAGGTTTAAGTTCAGTTTAAGTTCAGTGAAACGGGGTAAGGGCTTGGGGTTTAGGGAGAGGAGAGGGTGCGGTAGCAGCAGCTAAAGGAGGCGCAGAGGCGGCAGCACACGTCGGACCGGAAGCAGAAGATTTGAATGCAGCAACACCACCTGCGAGGGTAAAGACGCAAAGGTCCAGAAGGGCGGCACTGCAGGTAAGGTCGTCTGCGCTGGAAGCGTGCTCGCCTGTGATGAAATTTCGCACCCCCTCGTCGGCCCTCTCAGACCGTGTTCTCGCCCTCGCCGCACCTCCACCCATTTGCTGCACACCTTCCGCTCAACCCCTCTCTTTCATCGCCCACCTTGTTGCTTCTCCCTCCCTGTCTTTCCAGGCAGTAGCAGAAGCAGAAGGAGACGCGAGGTCGACAGCACACGCCGCACCGGTAGCATACTTAGGGCAACAGAGGGCAAAGATCGGTTCATGAATACCCTCTGCTGCTGCTGTCGATGCGGCGTGTGCTGCCGCCCTTACGCTTCTTTCTGCTTCTACTACCGCCTGGAAAGACATGGAGGGATATAACAACAAAATGGGCGATGAAAGAAAGAGGTTGAGCGGAAGGTGTGCGGGAAACGGGTGGAGGTGCGGCAAAGGGTGACGGTCTCGGGAGCCCGACGAGGGGGTGCAAGCTATCAGCACAAGTGAGCACGCTTCTAGCTCAGGCAACCTTACCTGCAGCGTCGCCCTTTTGGCCGTTTCCGCCTTCACTCTTGCAGCTGGTGATGCTGCAGTCAAACCTTCTGCTTCCGGTCCGGCATGTGCTGCCACCCCTGCGCCTCGTTTGTGTTGTTTCTCTCCTCTTCCTAGACTGTCCCTACTCTGACTATCATAGACCTGCGTTGACTGCCACGCACCTTAATTGACTCCTGGCACACGTAGGCAATCATGCCCTCCTCAAGCGACGAGCCCATGTTGTTTCTCTCCTCTTCCTAAGACCTCTATTGCCTACCATTGACCAGCGTTGATTAATACGCACCTTAATGGACTCCCGGCACACATAGGCAATCATGCCCTCCTCGAGTGGTGAGTCAGTGTTGTTCATAAGGTCAGCCACGCTGCCACCACCACAATACTCCATCACAATCTGTTTCAAGGGAAGGTGTGTTGGGAGCGGGGAGGGGTGGGGTGGCAAGAGGGGAAGAGGGAGGGAGGGGAGCAACGCAACAAGGAGGAGGTGAACCTTTGTTGTTCATGCAATCAGCCACGCTGCCATCGCCACAATACCCCATCACAATATGTAAACACGGTGGGGTGTGTTGGGGGCAGGAGGGAAGGGAGAGGGGCAACGCAACAAGGAGGGAGTTGAGGTGAGTCCGTGTTGTTGATCAGGTCAGCTAAGCTGCCACCACCACAACCAGGAAATTGTGCTACATGTAGTCTATTGGAAGTAAACGAATCACATCATTCCAAAACAGGTCTCAACATTACATCATAAAATAAGATCAGATCGGATCCACTCACCCAGAGGAAGTCGTCCCCCTGGTAGCTGCCATAGTATCGCACGACGTTGGGGTGGTTGCACTGCTGCAGCATCTCAATCTCGCCCCTTATCTCCTCAAACCCCTCCTCCTGAGATGGGTACACAAGGGAAGGAGAGGGGGGAAAAAGGGTATAAGGGTGGAGGGCAGAGAACGAGAGAGACGGAGGGCACACAACGTTGGGGTGGTTGCACTGCTGCAGCATCTCGATCTCGAGCCACAGAAACGACTTTAAGGGCATCAGCTCTGAGCTAATGCGGTCTCTTCCCTTGTACACAGACTGACTCGTAGCAACCCTTGCCGAATTTCAAGTCAAACCAACCAACAGTCAGGTAGGATCAACTTAGAATTGAACCCTTGCCTGCCTAGAGGAATGCTATATTCCTCACTTACCCCTTCAGCTAGGGAGATGACTTTGATAGCCACCAGCTCATAGCTGATGCGGTCTCTCCCCTTGTTTGTACACCGACAGACTCATAGGAACCCCACTGTTTGAGACATCTCATCACCTAAGTATTCCTTCTTCCACTTACCCCTTCAGCCAGGGAAATGACTTTAATAGCCACCAGTTCTGAGCTAATGCGGTCTCTTCCCTTGTACACTGACCCGTAGGAACCCTTGCCTGCAGGGGAAGGTGGGGTATGTGTAGGGAGCAGGTGCAGGGGCAGGGAGCAGGTGCAGGGGCAGGGAGCAGGTGCAGGGGCGGGGAGCAGGTGCAGGGGCAGGGAGCAGGTGCAGGGGCAGGGAGCAGGTGCAGGGGCAGGGAGCAGGTGCAGGGACGGGGAGCAAGGAGGTGGAGACAAGACAAGAACGAGGGCGGCGACACGGCACCATACAAGGGGTCAAAACTTCAGCTCCCGCAATGACTAGTGGAGCCTCACTCACTCACCCATCTCCTCCCCGCACACTCACTCACCCATCTCCCCTCACACTCACTCACCCATCTCCTCCCCTCACACTCACCCATCTCCACCCTCACACTCACCCATCTCCACCCCTCACACTCACCCATCTCCACCCCTCGCACTCACCAATCTCCACCCCTCACACTCACCCATCTCCACGCCTCACACTCACCCATCTCCAACCCTCACACTCACCCATCTCCACCCCTCACACTCACCCATCTCTACCCCTCACACTCACTCACCCAGTTCTTCCAGCAACTCGTATTTCAACGTGGGGTCTTCTCTGGACACATGAATGCTCGACCCTGAAATGCCCCCTCCCCCGCCCTTCTTCGCCTTGGGAGCAACGTCTTTGTGCTCCGCCATGCTCCTAGCCGCTGCTGCCAATGACCCAGTCCCGTCCTTCTCCTCCTTTCCTCCCTTCCCCCCCTTCTTCTTCCGCCCTCCCCCCTTGCTCTTCCCAGATACCACCACAGTGCCGAATTGATCGTCATCCTCATCTTCCTCCTCTTCATCATCATCCTCATCCTCCTCCTCCTCCTCATCACTCCGGCCTCGACGTTTCGAAACAACCATCGTTCCAAAGTCTCCCTCTTCCTCCTCCTCGCTCTCCTCCTTCCGCCGCCGCCCCTTTTTCTTGGCCGACTTGCTCACTACCATTGTGCCAAAATCCCCCTCCTCACTCTCCTCCTCCTCCTCCTCCTCTTCCTCCTCATCTCGCCTCCTTCCCTTCTGGCTCCCCTTCGATTTAGTTACAACCATCGTTCCAAAATCCCCATCCCCATCACTCTCCTCCTCCTCTTCCTCCTCCTCCTCCTCTTCCTCCTCCTCCTCTTCCTCCCCCCCCTCCTCCCCTTCTCCCCCCACCACCCCTCCCCATTTGAGCACGCATGCTAGCAGCTGCTGCTGCCAATCCTCCCCCTTCCTCCTCTCTTCCCCCTCTGCCCTTCCCCCCTCCTCCCCCGCTCTTCCTACTGACCACCATCGTCCCAAAATCCCCTTCCTCGCTTTCCTCCTCTTCCTCCTCCTCCTCTCGCCCGCCTTTCCGCCTTCCACCCCCTCTGCTCACCACCATTGTCCCAAAATCCCCGCTATTATCATCCTCGTCATCCTCCTCCTCCTCCTCCCTTCTCCTGCCTCTCCCGCCGCTTCCTTTATTCCCACGACTCACCATCATGGTTCCAAAATCCCCTCCTTCTGAACCGTCCGATTCCACCACGCTCCCGTCATCGTCGTCTCGACGCGTGCCACGTGGCCGCATCACCATCGTTCCGAAATCTCCTCCCCCCTCCTCGTCACTATCCCCGTTATTATCACCTCCCCCACGCCATCCACCGCCGCCGCCGCCGCCGCTCCCGCTGTCGCGTCTGCTTCCAGGCTTCATGACCATGGTTCCGAAATCGCCGCCTCCATCACCGTCCGATTCTTCATCGGACGGCTCCTGTGGCGGCCTGCGGCTCCCAGGCTTCATGACCATTGTGCCGAAATCCACATCCGAATCATCTGAGCCGTCCATTCCAAATGAAATCGATGCTAGCCCGACGGGATATCTGTGCTTGCACCAATATGCAGTTTAGGTTCTTAACTGCAAGAACCTAATGTATTTAAAGCCTAATCGATGACGTGAAGCTGCGAGACGCGACGCGAAAACCTAGCGCAGAAATAAAAACGATGATTCGTAACTTCGAGCAAAGGCGGTTGGCCTTAAAAAAACGCCGAGTAGCTTGCGAGGTCTCTTAGAATGCAGAAACCCCTGACAGGTATTCGAACCGAAACTGACTGGCTAGGCGGGAAATTTTGGGGACTGGCAGGCGGCATTATCTAGGTGACAATGTCGGGGGAAGTGGATTCAGATGAGGTGGAAAACGGTTTATCTGGGTGCTTGTAATTCGATTGAATATGCCTCGCGAAAATCTGTTCGTAAACAGCGATTTATGTCAGGACGGAATACCCATTTCATTATCAGTTTTAGTGGAATCAGGGTGAGGTGACCTGCTTGCATATAAAGCTGGAAGAGAGGTCAATCCCTTGAGGTCGCTTATAAACAGAAACACTAAAACACTCGTGTCAAAAATCACTACGCTGTAAATTTGTACACAACCCCAACACCTATTACCCTCTGTTCTTTATCCACTCTTTTTCCCCGTAACAGATCGTTGTGTCATTACAACTGGCCACCCGTAAGCCATGCCGCAACCGTTGGATATCCATGGAAAATGTCGACGCCACAGATCCCCAGAAAATATGCGCCTGCGCACAAATCAGCTTTTCTAAAGCCACTGGAATGAGCTCCGTGCGACCTTGAGTCAGTTGTTGGATAGGCCGCATCCATTTCTCCTTGCTCTTTTCGCGGACGGATGGTAACCGCACCACGTTTAGCTTGTAATCCGACATTTGATTCAACAGCACTGTTAGCTCCTCCAACTGACAACAAATTGAGAACAGGAGGGTGACAAAGAAGGGAGAAAAGAAGGGCAGATGAGACAACGAAGGGATGAGAGAATGATGATGAGAAGAGGATGACAAGAGGATAGGAAGGAGATGATGAGGAGAACAAGAGTCTCAGAAGAGAATGAGAAGAGGACGAGAAGAGGATGGCATGATTGCTTGCATGGCAAGCGATAGGCCATGCAGATGTGAAGCAGACAGGTGGCCATCGCATCTCCATGCTTGCCCAACCTCGTTGCAACACCAAGTAACCAACTACCCACGCATGCTTGGCATTGGTGGCGAGAAAGCGGTAACCTTTGAAAATTCCCGAAAATGTGATGAAAACCATATCCCGTACCTCGGCATGCTTGGCATTGGTGGCGAGGAAGAGGTTGTTGATTCCCAGCTCCCTGCTCTTGCGATACACCCAATACGCCACCTGCACACACACACCAAGGAACATGGCATGGCACACACCAAGGAACATGGCATGGACAGGACAGGACAGGGCACGAACATCGCAAGTGTCAGAAGTAGCATACGTGCTTGGGTTGGGCCCATGCCAGAAGCAGTAGGCCTTCAAGTCCCCCCCGACTTTCAGACCGACCCCCACAAGCATGGCTGGGACCCTTACAGCACAGAAGCCCACCCACCTGCTGCACAGGGAAGTAGCATACGTGCTTGGGCCCATGCCAGAAGCAGTAGGCCTTCAAGTCCCCCCGCCGCCAGTGCATGCCAATAAATTGCTCGTTCGCCTGAAAAGGCCTCCCCCATAAACAACTCGACAACCAGGAAGCCCGGCAATGAATGACAGCCCTATCGCCCGAAACCCCACAAACCCTAAACCCTCCAGCACTGGAAGCCCACCCACCTGCTGCACTGGGAAATAACATGCCCGCTGCCGGCTTGATGAGCAGCGCCTGAGCCTGAAAGTCCTACCATCCGAAAACCCATGAATCTCAGGCCCTAAACCCTCCAGCACTGGAAGCCCACCCACCTGCTGCACTGGGAAGTAGCATGCATTTTTGGGTCCGTGCCAGAAGCAGTAGGCCTTGAAGTCCCCTCGTCGCCAGTGCATGCCGATAAACCTCTCCCCTTTGAACGTCTCGCGCACAAACAGCTCCGCCGCCAGGAACATGCCCGCTGCCGGCTTGATCAGCAGCGTCTGAGCCTGAAAGCCCTACCGTCCTGAAACCCATAAATTCCAGGCAATAAACCCTGAATCCTGCACCTTACGGCACAAAAAGCTTACCTGTTGCACGGGGAAGTAGCATGCATTTTTGGGTCCGTGCCAGAAACAATAAGCCTTGAAGTCCCCTCGTCGCCAGTGCATGCCAATGAACCTCTCCCCTTTGAACGTCTCCCTTACAAACAGCTCGGCCGCCAGGAACATGCCCGCTGCCGGCTTGATGAGCAGCGCCGTGGGACAGTCGGAGGAGCGCTCGAACGGGAGGTCGAGAGCCGCGTCACTCTCAGGCCACTCCATGAAATGAATGTTGACTAAGTCCCCCACCACTAGTACAGGAGACTGGTTGTTTCCATACGCTTCTAGCACCTGCTTCTCAGAGAAAAGGGGGTAGAAATTCGGGGGAGGAAAGGAGGATGAGAAGGAGAGGGGAGGGGAGGGAAGGGGAGGGGAACATGCCCGCTGCCGGCTTGATGAGCAGCGCTGTGGGGCAGACGGAGGAGCGCTCGAACGGCAGGTCGAGAGCTGCGTCACTCTCAGGCCACTCGGTGAAATGAATGTTCACTAAGTCCCCCACCACTAGCACTGGAGACTGGTTGCTGCCATACGCCTCTAGGACCTGGGTGGGGGAGAAACCAAGGGAAGAAAATGGGGAGAAGGAAATGGAGGGAAAAGAGAGGTGTCGTGAATCCTCCTCTGTCCACCCTCATTCCCTCTCATCCCTGCGTATCCTGCTGATTTCTCCTTCTCTTCTTCCCTCCATGCCGCCCGCTCTGCTGATCAGATTCATCCCTTCTTCCTCCTGGCGTATGTAATCACTCTGTCCTGCACTCCTCCTGGTACCTCAGGCTTCCCTCAACAAGTCTAAACTCCCTCGCAAGGGCTCAGTCAGATTGCTGTTAGCTTCTCCTACTGCTAGTTCCCTTCGGATTAGGAAAGCAAATTGCAGTAAACGAGAAACATACAAGCAAAAAGCAAGAAGCCCGAGTGCTACTCCTGCCTACATCTATTCCCACCCCCTGCCTAGGTTGCTTCCTCCACAAGCAAGCTCCTGTGCACCAAGCGAGTCAGCCGGGCTGCTCGCGAGGTCTCCAAGGTGCTAGCTGTGTCCCGACTGGGCCCACTAGGCATGCACCGCCTTCCAGCCTGGTGACTTCGAATTGAATTCCCAGGCTGGCATTGAATTCGCCTGCCAGCCTTGTGACTTCGAAATTGAATTCACAGGCTGGAATTGAATTCGCCTCCACCAACCTCCTTGAATTCGCCTCCCCCTAACCACCTCAAATTCCCCAGCTACTCGGCTCTGCAGTACAGTACAATACATTCCAAGCACACAAATGAAATTAGAGTACAAAGCGGTAAACTATAGTACACCCTCACCTTGGCTGCTGTGGTATTCACACTTAGTTGCCAGCTAAGTGTTAATAACGCGACAGCTGTCGTGAATCCTCCTCTGTCCACCCTCATTCCCTCTCATCCCTGCGTATCCTGCTGATTTCTCCTTCTCTTCTTCCCTCCATGCCGCCCGCTCTGCTGATCAGATTCATCCCTTCTTCCTCCTGGCGTATGTAATCACTCTGTCCTGCACTCCTCCTAGTACCTCAGGCTTCCCTGCCCCCTCCCGTGTCTCAGCGCCCATTTTTGCCGCTCGAGTCACGGGACCCACTGCCTGAGGCTTCCCTTGTCCCGCCCTGGCCACGTTGGTGATGTGTTCCTTGATGGTCCCCCCTCGAATATCCTCCAGCACTAACACTCCCGAGCCTCGTACCTCTTTCACCTTCCACCGCTCCGATCCCACCGCTAAGTCCAGCGTGTCGCGCTTAGCTTTGCGAAGGTATACTTCCTGCCCTGCCTCCACCTTGTCACCCTTTCCCCCTATCCCTGATGCTTTACGCTGCTGGTATCGTCTTGCGTCACGCAGCTGCGCCACATGGAGGTTATCCAGGGCTGCCGGAGTCAGCTCCTTCAAGTATTTTGCCCTCCGCTGTGCTAACTCCGCCCACAGGTTTGGCTCATCTGCCTCTATAACCGCAGACAGCAGTTTCGGTGCATCGACCGGCAGCACAGGATCCCGCCCGAACAGTAAGTGGTATGGGGATAGGTTTCTCAGAGCCGCCTGCTTTGCGAACCTGTACCCCGCCAGCTCCCACCAGAGATCTCGGTCCCAATTCCTTTTGTGGGACTCACTGTAGGCCCGAAGTCCTTTCTTCAAGGTCTGAATGAGCCTCTCGGTCAGTCCGTCCGATTGAGGATGGTACCTAGAGGTGACCCTGTGCGTGATACCCATCTCTTCTAGCAGCTCGTCAAAGCTCCCTTGAAACTCTGTCCCTTGATCAGTGAGTACCTCCCCGCATGCCCCATACCTGGTGAGCACCAGCTCCTCAAAAGCGTCAGCTATCAGTGCGCTGTTCTTGCTTGGTAATGCTCGCGCCTCCACCCATTTACTCGTGTGCTCAACCATCACCAGAATGTACTGCCTCCCTCCTTTCGACAGCGGCAACTCTCCCGCGAGGTCCAACGACCACCTGTAGCCCAACCCGCGAATGGGTAAGGAATGCAGCTCATCTCTCTCTTTCTCCAACCGAGCTTTATTCCTCTGACATGCCTCGCAGCTCGCCACTAATCCTGCCACATCTTTTCCCATGCTCGCCCACCAGTACATGGTGCTCAGCAGCTGCCGCGTTCTGGTTATGCCGTAGTGCCCCAGCTTCGCATGCACATTCCCCATAATCTTGGCTCTCTCCTGTGGTTGTGGCACCACCTTCCACCCTTTGTTGGTTCTCAGCTGCAGCTGTTCCTGAAACCACCTGAAATGCTGCCCTCTGGCCCTGGCTCTCTCGCTCACTCCTTCCTCCTATAGTGGCTCCCCTTTGATCCAGCTCAGGGTCTCCGCATCCTCCCATATGTCCCCTAACCGCTTCTTTCCCTTCTCCTGCCCCCAAGGTACTGCCGCTACTTGAGCCAGGGCTGCCAGCTGCGCTACCGGCTGCATCGGTGGCGGGTTCCTTGATAACCCATCTGCGTGCTGCAGCGTTTTCCCAGGTCGGTGTCGTATCTCAAAGTCGAATCCCAGCAGCTTAATGGCCCAGCGAGCGTTTCTCCCAGTCAGCTCCTGATGGGTCATCAACCACAGCAGCGGCGGGTGGTCAGTCACAAGTGTGAAGTGCCGACCCTGCAGGTATACCTTGAAGTGAGTGATCCCCCATACAGCTGTCAAGCCCTCCCCTTCGTACGAGCAGTAGTTAGCCTCTGATGGGCTGCAGCTGCGGCTGGCGAAGGCTACCACTCTTTCCTCTCCTTCTATCTCTTGGCAGAGGACTGCCCCCATTCCTGTGCTGCTCCAGTCAGTGTATAAGATGAAAGGGGCATCTGCCCTCGGTATCTGCAGCAGCGTTCCCGTCCGTACTGCTTCCAGCAGGTCCTGCCTTGCCGTTTCCTCTAGCTCTCCCCACTGCCAGCTCCTCCCTTCCTTCAGCAGCTGATTCAATGCATAGGCTCGGCGGATGAAGTTCGGTACAAACTTCCTGTAATAATTCAGGAAGCCAAGTAGCGCCCGCAGCCCGGTCTTGTCCTTTGGTGCTGCCAGGTTCTCCAGCACCTTAACTTTTGCTTCCTGTATCGCCAGCCGGCCCCCTTTCACTTCAAAGCCCAGGTAAGCCACGGTCTGCCTTGCTATCTTGCACTTGTCTGGATGGCACGTCAGACCCGCAGCTGCTATTGCCTCTAGCGTCCGCTTCAGGTCTTGCACGTGCTGCTCTTCACTGCTGCTGAAAATGAGTATATCATCTATGTAGCAGGCTGCTGCTGGAATCCCCTTCAGCACCTGATCCATGGCCCGCTGGAACACTGCAGGGGCGTTGCGTATCCCGAAGGGCATCACATTGTACTCATACAGCCCATCCACCCCGTGAAACGCCGTCTTCCGCTTGTCTTCCTCCCTGATGGCTATTTGGTTGAACCCCTGTCGCAGGTCCAAGGTGGTGAAGATGATGGCGCCCTCTAAACGGTCCAAGATGTCTTCAGCAGTTGGCATCGGATACCTATCTGGACTAGTGATCTTGTTCAGCTCCCTAAAGTCCCCGCACATCCTCTTTGCCAGTACCTTCCCCGTGATGTCTTTCCTAGCGGCTACCACTGTGGCTGCGGCGTAGCTCGATTCTGACGGGCGGATAATCCCTGCAGCTAGCAGCTCTTCGCACTTCTCCTTACATATGGCTGCATCCTCTGCATTCATCCTCCTCCTGCGCTGGTATGTGGGCAGCTCCGTGGTGAGGTTCAGCTCCAGCTCTCTCCCCTTATACCTCCCCAGCTCTAACAAGTTGTACGCGAAAGTGCTCCTGTGTTGCCGTAGTACCTCCTGAATTGCAGCTGCGGTTTGCTCCCCTATGCCAGCTCCTAATTCCCAGTCTTTGCTTGGCTCTGCTTCCTTGCCCCCTGCGGTCATGGGGTCAGCCTCTGTCCCTGCCGTGGTCTTACTGAGAGCTACATATGATGCTTGCTTGATGCCTTGTCCCTGTTCAGTCCCTGCCTTTCCTCTCCTGCTGGTCGGCCCCTTTCTCATCTCCCCAACTAACCATCTCAATGTGTGCTGGTCTATAGCTCTGCCTAGAGCCGCCCTGCGTGCTGCTTCTCCCATTCCCTCCGCAGCCGTTGCCCCCGGCAGGTAGCCCATGGCTAATTCGCGTTCTAAGGCCGTCGGCTCTTCCCACTTCTTCTTTCGGTAGTCGTACAGCATCCCTGGACCGGGTATCCCATCCACCTCCACGAACCCCCGAGCCTGAGGGTAGGCTACCAACGTCGGCCAAGCTCTCCGTGCCTCTCCCACCCGGTTACACTGGTACTGCCGCGGATAATCTGGTTTTACCACTGGGGCGGCGACTCTGCCAGGTTCCAGAATGTCTCCCACTATCCGAGTCTCATCCCGCTCCACTCTTGCTAGCCTTGCTCTCAGCTCCCCTTCTGGCAGGACATTCTGCCAAAACTGTCGCACTCGGTGGCACCATGCCCCCAGCTGCGCACCATCACAGCTCACTCCCCTACCCAGTTCTGCCTCCACCAGCTCTCGCACTGCTCGGACTGGCTCCCTCGCATCTCCTCTCATATCCACATGCTCCAGTATGTAAGCATATTCTCCTCCTGCTTCTCTCGCCCACCTCATGATTGACAGAAGAGCGGACAACATGGCTGTACGTTCATCCTGCAAGCCCTTCCCTTTTCCTGCTCTGGAAGTGCCCTGGCATTCCCATCCTGCCACGAGTAAATCCACCTTTCCCCAGCTGCTAACATCTTCTTTGGTAAGCTGCCCCACGTCCCACTTTTTGTTCTGCATGGCTTCCCGTAACACTCCCCTTGTCAGCTGCGCCGGGTAC